GGGTTCACGAGGGAGGGAGGAGCGGGGAAGGAGGGGGAGAAATGAGGAGCTGATGCCAGGGGTTCAAATGGAGAGCAAATGTTTTGACAATGATGAGGGCAATGAATGTACAAATGTGCTTTACATAATTGATGTATGTATGGATTGTGATGAGTTGTGGGAACCCCCAATAAAATGATTTTTTAAAAAGAGATACATAAAAAAATAAACTATGGTTAGCCTTAAAAACAAAACAAGAAAACCAGGCCAGGCTTCCTGCTCAGACAGACCGGTGGGACCCCCAAGACCATGGCCCTTAGTCCCCCTTCAGGTCTGGAAGGGAACTCACCTGTTAGAATCATCCACCATTTGAGATCAAAAGGGCAGCATTTACTGGAGGACCAAGCTCAGAGGGCTAGCGAGGAGAGGGACCCGATAAGGGGAAGGAGGTGGGGCAGGCACGGATGACACAGAGAGGGGCTTGCAGTGAACAGGTGGGAACAGAATGTACGTGGATCGTTGAATGCAAAACTGGTGATCCGCTCGTAAACCATCACCTAATTTGCAAAAAGAAAATAACTTCGGCCAAGCTAGTCTTGATTGTAAAAATAAGTCCCGGAATGAGCAAAATTAAGAGCCCTGGTGGCATAGTGGGTGTCCAGATGGGCTGCTAACCCAAGGTCAGCGGTTCAAAACCACCGGCCGCTCCTTGGGGGAAAGATGGGGCTTTCTACTCTTGCAAAGAGCCACAGTCTCGGATACCCACAGGGGCAGTTCTACCCTGCCCCACAGGGTCGCCGTGCGTCTCTGTGAGCTGCGGGAATGGCATCCGTAGGCTTCTGCTCCTCCAGGGATTTGAACGCAGAGGAAATGGACTCTAGACATCGATGCCCCTCGCCGCCCTGAGTCGACGGAGGGAAGCCCAGCATCGACCTTCACTTAAAAAGAGCACCTCGCCAAACAGAAAGGCCACCCTCATTTGGAGGGTGGTAGACTTCTCACCATCCCTGTGAGAGCCTTTGGGATGCCCAGCCAGGGCACCTCAGGCGCAGCCAGCACCTGTCAGCATGCTTCCATCTGCTTACCAGGTTCCGTCAGAAGGAAGGCCTGGCCAATGATCTGACCTGCTCCGATCACAGGGTTCATGCTGGCCCGAGCCTCATGATGCTCTGTTGTGTGTGGGGCCCGTCCCTGCGTCGGGGCAGCATCACCAGTCACAGCTAGCCATGTAGCCGGATGCTATCCAGAAGAGAATGCTTACACTTGTTCTCTGGAATAAAAACAGTCCTGACCAAGCACAGAGCAAGCCACGCCCCTAAGTAAGCCACCCAGCCAATCAGGCTGCTTTCCTCACCAGCTTGCAGACCGCCCGGCTCCAGGCAGAGCCTATAACAAGAGTGAACAGCACAGCAAGGTCCCAGGGTTTACCAAGCGCAGCGGCTCTCAACCTGTGGGTCAGGACCCCTTTCACCGGGGTCGCCTCATTCACAACAGTACCAAATGACAGTGATGAAGTAGCAATGAAAATAACTTGATGGTTGGGGGGCCGCCACCACACAAGGAACTGCATGAAAGGGTCGCGGCATTAGGAAGGTTGAGAACCACTGACCAAGTGCAAAGAGTAAGGGGCACTCGAGATTATACCTGCTTCTTCGGATTTCTTCAAAGGACACTTCTGCGCCCAACAGCGAGCAGCCGTAGCCACGTCCCTTGCTTCTTTACACACATCCACACGTCTCCATGATTCATCCCTCCGCTGAACACACACTACCCCGCAGGCGAATTCACCCTGTCAGGGGCAGCTAGGGCCCCAACGGGGAAAACCAAGCCAACCTCGCTGCTCCAAAGTAAGCACGGGTTGACTGGTGCTTGCCACGGGTTGTAGATGTGGTGAAAACACGGAAGCGCTTCACGACAGATGAGGAGGGTAGCTGAGCTTGCCTTGCCACAGCGCGTCTCGGTGGCTGTGGGGGACTGTCCGTCCACTGGAGGAGACTGATTCTGCTGGAAGGGGCTGTGGGGCCCATCTAGCAGCAGAATCTAGGATGTGGTGAAACAAGTGTGAGATGGTTCCCTACAGAGTAAGTAAGCACAAGTCGGCCTGGGCTTACCTTGCTTATTGGGGAATCCCACGCTGTCCTTTACCGTCTGGTCTTCTTCACCGGGCCCGCCAGAGCAGCCGAGTGTGTGTGTGGGGGTGGGGGTGGGGAACACGATGGGGGGGATGTAATAAGACAGAAGGGACAGGCACATTCATGGCCGGTGAGACACCAAACGCCCCGGGAGGGCATTCTGTGCAGAGAGAGGCAGGAATATTCTGGGAGAGAGGATGCCCTCAACAGAATGAAGACTGGGGAGGAAAATAATTGTATCAGGACAAAATGATAAAAAGCCAAAGCACTGAGCACGCAGCGAGGAAGCCTGTCACCCGCTTCAGATCAGCTGGCCCGGGAGGCTTAACAAGGAAGCCATTAGGGGCACCCTGCTGGGCCTAATTGTTTTGAGAACATATGGTCCTTTGTGCCACCGCCCAGCTGTGAATTCCTTGGCTTTTGTCAGCTATGTCACCACCTTAACCCCCCACCCCACCCCCTTCCACTAATTTACTGCACCTCGTCTCTAACCTGCAGCTCTGGGAGCAACAGGGCCGTGCCCACACCGCGCACTCCCTCCAGCTTGATTTCCACGGAGGAGGCAACGTGGCGGACAAGCGCAGTCTGCTAGGAGCTCAACAGACGCTTACCGTGCGGTGGGTCTCCTTTCAAAGCGTTATTTCAGTTCACATTCATTCCAGGCGCTGGGTAGGGGCCCCAAATCATTCCGCGCACAAGGAGAGCACTATCAAAGCATTTAGCATTTATTGCAATCAGGAAAACTGCATATTCCTTGGTAGAATCAGGTCTGGTGAAAAACAAGGCGTCGGGTAGAGACTGCTGAACTACAAGCAAGGTTGACATAATGGATAGTTTGGTCAGTGGAAGACACACCATAAATGTTTGTGGAGCCCAAACTATGTGTGCTGAACCATCAGAGAGGCGTCTTGGTCTACAGATACAGAGTACATGAACCAATACAAGCTTTAAACTGGGAATGAGTACTGAAAGCCAACCCACCAGCCAACACAACTCTTTATTAATAACAGCATGAGAAGCCTCTCCACTTTTAAACCCAAAGATCACACAACCCTTTTGGTTCAGAACTGAGCTGCAGAGGGAAGCAAAAGTCCGAAAACCTCTAAGTCCCAACAGTAAAATGCTAATAACTCACGGGAGACACTTCTCTAACGAAGTAAATCAAACGGGCATTTTCATCTCTTTAAAAGAAACTGCAAAAAGTTAACTTTCCGTTGGTGGCAGTCAGCACATTTGCATCTGGCCCAGTTTTGCCGACCAAGTGACAAGCCCCGGAATACAGAAACATCTGCTCAGCCTTAATTACAGAGCCGCTCACCACAGTATTCTCCGCAAAGGGTGCCGTGCCCACAGCTTGTTGTCTCTGTGGGTTTTGTGTTTTGTTTTTCACAGTAAATACATTGGCATTACAAGTTCCCAATATATCACGCAGATAACAATACTAGGCATATTAATTTAATATCTTAAAGCAATAGTAGTTGGAGGAAACCTTCCAGTCTTGAAAAACACCGCTGTTCAGTCTGCGTTATTCCCAAGGGCGGAATCCTTGCATTGAGGCGTTTGTAGTCACACAACCAGGCCCCAGGGTCCTTGCGTCCCTCCTCGGAATTTACCGAAAATACACACATCTAATTTTCGTGACAAAAATAT